TTTTCCTCTTTCCTTCCCACCTGCAAAAGCAGTTTCTGATTTTGGGCGAGCTCGGCACCGATCCCGTCCAGTGCACCCCAAATCTGCAGCTCCGGGAGGGAAAAGGGCTCTGAGGGGTGGAAATGGAATAGGAAAGAGCAGGGAAATGGAATTTTATCATCGCTGTTTGCTTTTCCTCGGAGCCGTTGGTGCTCCTCGGGGTGACAGCTCCGTGTCCCCTGCGGGGCTGGGGGACAGGGACAAGGACAGGGATGGGGACAGGGACAGGGATAGGGATGGGACAGGGACAGGGATAGGGACAGGGACAGGGACGGGGACAGGGATGGGGACAGGACAGGGACAGGGATGGGGACAGGGACAGGACAGGGACAGGGATGGGGACAGGGATGGGACAGGGACACAGATGGGACAGAGACAGGGATGGGACAGGGACACAGATGGGACAGAGACAGGGATGGGACAGGGACGGGGACAGGACACGGATGGGACAGAGACAGGGATGGGACAGAGACAGGGGGACAGGGACAGGGACAGGGACAGGGACAGGGACAGGGACTGGGACAGGGACGGGGACAGGGACGGGGACAGGACAGGGACAGGGATGGGGACAGGGACAGGGACAGACAGGGCATGAGCAGCAGGGTTCTGCTCCCACCCCGGCCCTGCCCTTCCTGGAGTTTGGGATTTGCTGCTGGAGGCTCCGAGCTGCCCCAGAGCTCTGCAGGGACACCCCTGGGGCTGTGGGGTCAGCCTTGACCCCAAACTCGGTCCTGACCCCAAACTCAGTCAGCCCTGACCCCAAACTCGGTCAGCCCTGACCCCAAACTCGGCCCTAACCCCAAACTCATCCCTGACTCCAAACTCAGTCCCACTCAGGCTCCTTCTCTTCCCCCCAGCTTTGTCCCCACAGGAAAAACAAAGCCACAAACCCAACCCCAACCCTGCCAAAAGCTCAGAGCCGCTCCCTGTTCCCCAAAGGTTCCTTGCCAGGATCTGTGAGGATGGAGCTGCCCCAAATCCCTCTGAGGATGGAACTGTCCCAGATCCCTGTGAGGATGGAGCTGCCCCAGATCCCTGTGAGGATGGAGCTGCCCCAAATCCCGGTGAGGATGGAGCTGCCCCAGCTCCGGGGGGATCGTGGGAGCTGCCCCAGCTCCGGGGGGACCACAGAAGCTGCCCCAGCTCCCGGGATCCCCTCCCTCCTCCCTCCCTCCCTCCTCCCGCAGCCGAGCCAGGCGCTGCCGCAGTCCCGGTGTTGACACACGAAATGTTTGGTAACAACAGAGGGGAGAGAATCTGTTTATCTCCGAGCCCATTTGGAGTGACATAAGACTATCACTTTTTTGGTGAAATACCAGAAAGAATATCAATTCTTTGGCTGATAGCAGCCCCAGCAGATCCATCCCGGCTGACAACTTGTGTTCCCCGCTCTGGGGAGGAGGGGGTGCTTCCCCACACTCAAATCACGGCTGGTTCCAATTTTTGGGTTGGGGGGGAATAACCCCCCAGCCATGGTGTGAGCTCATCCAGAAACGGGGTTTGGGTGGGGGGCTCCAGGTGGCTCCTTGAGGAGATCCCGGAGGCTGTGACCCCAAGGGAAGATGCTGACAGAGGTCTGACCCCACAAGAAGACCCTGAAGGAAACTGAACCCCATAAGAGGCCCCTGAAGGAGCTGTAAGAAGCTCCTGAAGAAGGTCTGACCCCATGAGGAGCCCCTGAAGGAGCTGTGACCACATAAAAGCCCCTGAAGGAGCTGTGACCCCTTTAAGGAGCCCCTGAAGAAGGTCTGACCCCATGAGAAGCTCCTGAAGGAGCTGTGACCCTATAAAAGCCCTTGAAGGGAGTGTGACCCCATAAGAGGCTCCTGAAGGAGACTGAACCCCGTAAGAAGTCCCTGAAGGAGATGTCATACCAAGTGGAACCCCTGAAAGAGTTCTGACCCCATAAAGAGTCCCTGAAGGAGACTGAACCCATGGGAAGCCCCTGAAGAAATTTGAACCCGTGGGAAGCCCACGCTGGAGCAGGAGCAGAGTGGGAGGAGGAGGAGGAGGAGGAGGAGGAAGGAGAGAAGCATGAGGGAAATTGAGCCTGGGAAGGAAGGAGGGGTGGGGGGAAAAGTGATTTAAGATTGGAGTTTATTTCTTGCTGCCCTTCTCTGGTTTGATTTGCAATAAGTTAAATTAATAAATCAAACTGATTTATTTCTCGTTGTCCTGCTCTGGTTTGATGTGCAATAAGTTAAATTCATAAATCAAACTGATTTCCTCCATCCCTTGTGCCCGTTCCAGTCCCTGGTGGGTTCGGGGGGGTCTCTCCCTGCCCTCATCCCCAGATGGGATTTTGGTTGTATTTTCTCTCCCTGCCCGGCTGAGGAGGGCAGTGAGAGCAGCTTTGGGGCGCCTGGTGCCCACCCAGGGTCCCCCCACCCGGGAGGAGTTTTGGGGTCCCAGCCCCGGGGGACAGCGGGTGTGGGGCCGGGCTGGCTGCGGGACGAAGTCGCAGGACATTCCTGTCAGCCTCCATCTGCAGAGGCAGATTTGGAGCAAACCCACTTCGGGCAGCAAACTCCAGCTTGGAGCAGCAAGCCGGGCCTCCTGCAGGGCTGGGAATGTTCTGAGCTCCAGGCAGGAGCAATCAGGGCTTTAATCAGGGCTTTAAATCCTCTGCTTGCCCAGAGCCCAGAGCCCAGCTCTCCCAGTGACTGCTCTGGGTGCCTGTCCCTGCAGGGATCCACTTCCACAGCCCAATCCCTTTCCTTTTGTTCCTTTCCCTTCCCCTTCCCCTTTCCCTTTCCCTTTCCTTCCCCACAGCTGGCCCAGGAGCAGGATTTGGGCTGGAACTCGAGGTTCCTGCAGCATTCCCACTGCCCAGCACCCGGGGACTGGCAGGTGGAAAAGCTGCAGGAGGAGCTGGGCACCTTCCTCCTCCTCCTCCTCCTCCTCGTCCTCGTCCTCCTCCTCCTCCTCCTCCTCCTCGTGCAGCAGACAAACAGAGATGTCACTCGGTGTCCAGGCGCCGTCAGCACAGACGCTGTTGTCAGTGAATCAGAAGTGTCTAGGAACAGCTTGAACAATTTTATTTTTTTTTAAAGTGCTTCAAACGTAAATAATAAGCTCTTTATAAACATTAGTTGCAGCTCTTAAAACGTGAGACACACAGAACCCGCTTCCCGCGGACGTGAGGAACAGGGAAACCAACAGCTCCAAAAACCCCAACACTTCTCCCACCTGGGACGCTTTTCCAGGTTTTTAACCCCAAACACGGCGGTTTCCTCCCAGACTCCACATCCCCCAGCTCTGTTCCAGTTTGAGGATGAACCCTGGCGGTTCTGGCCCACACGAGGCCAGGAGCAGCAGGCAAGGGGAGAAGAATTTGGCCAAATAGAGAAAGAAAAGCAGAGGCAGAGCTCAGACCCTGCTGCAGCCTCGCGGGGAACCAGCGCCAGGAGAAAGGCAAAAGCACAGGAGGGTCGTGGCTGTGTTTAAAACAGGAACGCTGCTCCTGCCCCTGGGATCCCAAATAAATCACTGGCTAGGAGATCCAGTCACTAACCACGGAGATAAATCCCAGATGGGCAAGCTGAGAAGAGTTCCCCGGTTCTGTTCCTCATCCCTCCCTCGCTGAGGAAGCACTTGGGTCCTCCAGAGCGTTCCCCTGGGAAGGGCGGGTTTAACACCACCACTCCAGCTCCACCCCAGGCTGCTGGGCTGCTCTTCTGCACAGAAATCTGGGTGCGGAGGGGGAACCCAAATCTCCAGCCCAGCAGGGCGGGGAACAGAGAAC